TCCCCCCCCCCCTTCTTAACGTAGCAGTGTGAGAAATGGCATGGGTTTTGGGTGAAGACCAGGGATATCCTCTGAAAGTACAGGGTCTTGAAGACTTTTCCAATATATATTTTTGAAAACTGAAGTGGAAAAAGAAAATGTTATGAGAAACAAAGCTATTACCGATTTTGTGCAGTTTTGGTTTATTAGGGAATAAAAATAAGGACCCCTGGAGTTGAACTCTGGTTCTGCTCCTTACCGACTGCCTGACCTTGGGCAAGTCAACCTTTCTATGACTCAGTTTCCTGAATGATAAAATGAGAATTAATAATAGTATCCACTTCATAGGACTGTTGTGAGAATTAAATACTTTAATAAACATAATGCGCTTAAGACAATGGCAAATGGTAAGAGCTAATCTTACCATAAAGCTAATAATTATTAATATTGTAGCGACTTAACTCATCTTCAGCAAGTCCTTCAGGACCCCGCCCACCCGGATTGTGCAGCAGCTTCTCCTCCTCTCGCCCCGCCTCTTCGGGAATATCGTGTAATGCACGCCAGGCCTTGTAGTCCATTCGCTGAGTCCGGTCGCGAAGGGCCCCTCAAGAGAACTACACTTCCCACAGTTCTTCTTGGCAGCGGCCGTAAAGCGCGGCGGTCGAACGGCCGGTTCCGGCTGAATGTCAGTGCTGGGCTGTGGGCCGGGGAGGAAGGTGTTTTTCTCAGTATCACCTCCACGGCTGCCTCCGCTTGTGCGGCCGCCGCGAGCGCCGGGCCTCTCGGCCCGAGGGGCATGAGACCGTGAGGCAAGAGACGGGCCGGGGCCTCCGACATGTTTGGCCGCTCGCGGAGCTGGGTGGGCGGGGGCCATGGCAAGTCGTCCCGTAACATCCACTCCTTGGACCACCTCAAGTGAGTGAGCAGGGGGCACAAGGGGGAGGCCGCGGGCTTGGGGGCTGAGAGCTCGGGTCGGGGGGCGCTAGTTGTTGAGAGCGGAGGGGGAGGGCAGAGAAGGGGGGCCCGGGAAAGGCTGTGTGGTGGTTACGAGTGAGGGTTCTGGAGTCAGCGCCTGGGTCCGAACCCTAGCTCCGTCTCTCTTGGCTGTCTGTGTGACCTTGGACAAGTCACTTAATTTCTCAGAATCCCAGTATCCCACCTGTAAAGTAAGGGGACTCAGTTTAGGTTTGTGGACGAGAACTTCATTCTTGCCCAGGTGGTCAGTGGCCACCAAGCTCCGCGGCGTGATACTACTTAGACTGTACAGTTTAGGGGTCAAAGGCCTGGGTCTTGGGGTCAGGCATCGATCTGGGTTCGAATGTACGTCTGTGCATTTAGGCTTCCATTTCCTCAGTTGTAAAATGAATGAATAGTGACAGCGCCTGCTTCCTGGAATTATTTTGAAGGTTGGTTGGATAAGGAATGAACAGAAAACTCAGAAAATGCACAAGTGCTCAATAAAGGACAGTAATTTAAAAACAAACTTGGGCCAGGGATGTAATTCAGTGGCACAGCGCCTGCCTGGCAAGCGCAAGGTCTTGAGTTGGATCCCTGGTACCAAAAAAAATAAAAATAAAAAACAAAGTATTTATTGGGGAAGTAAACTGGAGACAGGTGACAAACAGTCTTGGGGAAGCAGGCTTTTACAGAGAGAGAGAGAGAAAAAAAAGACCTGGGACCAAATCCTGACTCCATAATTTAATGGCTGTGAGACCTTGGACATATTACTTCACATCTTTGAGTTTCCATTTCCCCATCAGCAAATGAGGATGATGAACCTTGCTTGTACAAGGATTCAGTAATGCCTTGCGTGGAAAGTGATTGACTCAATACTATTCCAGTGTATGGTCAGTCATGGTAGCTGTGTTTATTAGCCCAGCAAGGCCTTCTTCCCACACCATCCTACCTAAAGTGCTCCCCCCACCCCAGTACCTTTCTGTCAGATCTTTGTCTTGATTTCATTTCTTGTCTACCTGCTATCTTCCATTGCCCTGCTTATTTTTACTTGCTTTTGCATCTCTTATTAAACTGGTACGTCTAAGACTTGGTTTGTTCACAGTTGTATTCTCAGCTTCAAGCACTGTGGCCCACACAGTGTAGGAACTCAGTGGATACTTGCAGGATGAAAAAACTGAGTGAATAAACTGCAGAAAAGTGTAGAACATGCAGGTCGAGACCTAGGATTTAGGGGCCAGATGGAATGAGTGATGGAAAATAGAGACTTTTGGGGAGAGAGTAACTTCAGGGAAGAATACGTATTTAGGGGAGGCAGGATGGTTTTGGGGGTAGTAGGGAGAGAAGGCAAGGAGACAAAAGAGTCCCAGGACTAGGATGGGGGTTGGTAGAGAAGCAGGTTTCTTAAATGGGAGGGCAGCTGGCCTGGAAAGGGAGCGGTTTAAGGATTTCAGGAATTTATTGAGTGGGTGGATGTGGCTGGGAAGGGGAGGATGGTTAGCCAGAAGGGTTGGACCTCCGGCTGGCACCAGGTACCAGCAGGCTCTCATCTAACTCGGCCTGACTTTAGTCCTTTTAAATTAATTTAATATTTATTGAGTGTTTTATTCTGTGCCAGGTACATGCTGAGGACTCCCTCTGTGTTATTTCCTCAGTCCTCATAAGTTACTATGAGTTACAGGAACTTTTATAGTTCCATTTTATACAAGTGGAAAATAAGATTCAAGTAGCATAAGTCACTTGCACCAAGGTGATAGCAGCCCAGAGTATGAGAACCAGGATTTGAGCCTGGAGCTTGCATTTGTTACACTGTCTTTCTGAATAAAACTTCCCACTAAGTCAGTTAAGGGAAACTTTGAACTTGTCTGTGCCTTATCATGGATGGGGCATCTCTGTTGGGTGTCCACACACAGGAATGTAAAGGGTCTCAAGTTTCTTTGCAGTATCCTGGGAACTGCCCAAGTTCATAGTTTAGATTGCTGGAAACTGGAGCTGGCTGCCCTGGATCAGTTCAGTCTGCCTAATCCATATTATAGCCTAGAGAACCTAGTTATTTGTGTATTGGTGTGAGGCTCAGAATATCCCAAGGTGGCTTGGAAAAAAGTGCTGTAATCAGCAAGTGGCCACCCCAGTGCTCACACTGCACTTCATTTGGCTTTGATAGTAACCTTCTTGTGTCTTGGGTACAGAACAGCTCATTTCCTGAGGGAGTCTGCACCCTGGTGGAGAGAAGCCAAAGAAACAGTGACAGTACAGTGTGCCAAGTGATGGGATTATAGGAGGCCAAGGGTTCTGTCAGATCCCTTTTTGGGCACTTTCTAGAGGGGGCGACTCTAGATTGGAGGCCCAAGGGATGAGTAGGAGTCACCACATAGCTCAGCCCAGGTGTGTGTGTGTGTGTGCGCGGTGGGTGGCATCATAGTCAGAGCCAGGGGTTTGTGGCATATCAAGATGCGTGTTGTTAGTTGTAGGAAACGGGCTAGAGGTAGGAAGGGCTTTGAGTTTTATCTAACATAGGGTGATCCGCTCTCCTGGTTTGCCTGAAACTGAGAGGTTCCTTGAATATGGGACTTTCAATGCTAAAATCAGGAGTCTTGAGCAAACCAGTGAAAATTGGTTACTTTACCAGTGACAAGAGACAGTTCCTAATACACTCTTGCTCTGACCGAGGGCAGTATGGGTGGGAAAGAAAGATTGATATCTAAAAGCATTTGGAGGCGGGGATTTAGCTCTGTGGTTCTGACGCCTGCCTTGAAAGTGGAAGGACCTGAGTTCAATCCCTGGTACGAAAAAAAAAAATCAGCCAAGGAACACACTGCCTTGGATATTTAAAAGCATTTGGAATAGTTTTTTTTTTAACATACGTGTGTGTGTGTGTGTGTGTGTGTGTGTGTGTGTGTGTTTTGGCACACATAGCAATCTGGAAACTCTACTTTTTTAAAAAAATACTTTTTCACAGCACTCCCAGTTAGAAAATTTTCCTGTTTTAGATGGGAATTTACTTTTGCTAAATAATGGAAAACTGTGTACCTGTGGTCTTTGTCTATTGAATTAGGTTAATGATAAAGTTTAAGCAGATTGAAATAGTCAAGAGGTTATTTGTTTCACATCATTGGTGGTTTATTGACCAAACTAGTGGGCAGCTGACAAATGTCTATCATGAAGCAGAACCTCAACTGACGAAGTCATTTTTGCTACTGTACTATCATCTTTATGGGGGACTGTGAGTCCAAAGTGATAGAACTTGGTTGTTCCTAAATTCTGGTCACATTTGGTGAGGGAGGGTTAAGATTCTTGGTTGCAAATGACAAACCCTTCTGAATTGCCTTATGCCCCAAATGAAACCGATTGGCTTCTGTTACTGAATTGTCTGACCTGGTTGACCCTCAGGTGAGTCCAAGTGTGAGATGAAGCTGTCAGGAACCTGCCTCTTGCTATCTCCCAGCTCTACCTCCTCATGTTGGTACCATTTTCAGGAGGCTCCAGGCTCACATCACATGATCTTAGCAGTCCCTGGGGAAAAAGAGAATCCCTTTTCTTAATATTGCTGCAGAAGTCCAGAGTTAAGTTTTGCCAGACCCTTTGGGGATTCATGCTGTCCCTGAGCTAGTCACTGGGGCCAGGGTATATGGTGCTTTAACTGGCCGAGCCTTTCTCACATGCCCTTCCCTCTCGCCAGGGGTGGGACCAGCTCCAGCCATGCCAGTGGACGGAGAATGAAAGATGGGTGGTTTCCCGTGAGAGAACCAAAGGGGGGAATGTACCCCCAGCAGGCAGACCCTTGACCTTAGTGTACTCAGCCTTTGGCCAAGGTGGCACCAAGAGCTTGGGGCACAGTATTAGCAGATTGATTTCCTTGAAATATCATTCTCACTGTGTCACACCTAATGGGCCCCAGGCACCACTGTGTCAAGGCTAAATTCTGGTGGGCCTCAGAACACTCAGACTGTGTTCCCACCCTTCTAGTTTGGGAGCACAGGGCATTAGGTGCATTAGTGGTAAATGGAGACCGAAAAGATCTAAATAATGAGTTGTTACCAGGCAGGAGCGGGTGTCGGGGAAGGAAGACTGTATTAGGTAGAAGCAGCAAAGTTTGAGAAAACTTGGGGCAGAGGAAGCTGTGCATATTGGCAGAACTCTAGTCATTTAGTAAAGGAGTATATGGGCAAGGGGGAGGTGTAGAACTGTGATATACAGAGGCCGGATCCCTCTGGGACTTATATATTGTGTTAAGGCTCTGAGTATGCGTCACATTGATGGTCTTCCTCTCTCTCTCACTGACACGCACCTCCATGCCCACTTGACTGCTCCTTTGCTTTCTCTCCAAGTTTCCCTCTTCCTGCCCATCCACATGCCTAGCTCTAGCCTTAAAATACCAGTTCTTCCATAAAAACTGCTCTGGTGACCAGCCAACAAGAGTTTTACCATCTTTTCTAACTTCTCTTGTGTTTGTTCTCACTGTCTCACTCAGTGAACATGTTGCTATATACTGTCTGCTCATCTCCAAGAACAGACCAGCTTCGGTCCTGAAGGTTTTTGCCTTGACGTAGAGCCCCAGGAAGCTCAGGCTTGTTGTTTTTCCATCATAAATTGTCTTAGTTTATGTATGTATATGTGTATCTACATGTATAAACACCTGTTTGTCTCTCCCAGTGTGAGCATGAGCTTCATGAAGGCAGGGACCTGCGTGGCTTGAATGCCAGCACAGAGCCTGGCACATAATAAGTGATCAACAAATACTTGCTACAGGATGAACACAGAGGCAAATTCCGACCAACCTTTTCTTAACAACTGCCTACTCATGGCAGTTTTGGTACAGTGCCTATGCAGGAACTATGACCTTCTCCAGGCTGAGAGCTCTGCCTACACCTTCCCCAGGTATCCCAGGCCCAGCTCCACTTGCCAACCTGGCTTGGCATCTTTAGGGGATGATGCACCAGAAGCACCACCTGGGAACACCT